AGTCAGAGGCTGAACTACAACATAAAAATGAACAGCTGGCAGGAAAGTTGACATTTTAAAGCTTGATAAAAAAATTGACACAGGGCTTTAGAATATCGATACAGTATCGGGAAATGAAATATCGCGATATTTCAGTGTATTGATATTTTCTTACACCCCTAACTTATATAAACATTCATTATGACTTGGTGCATCTTCTATGTAACTTTCATTTTCCGTGGATCCCACAAGTGTTTATAAAACAATGCTTAAAATCATTTTTAACCATCTTTAATAGAAGCACCTTCATTTTTATAAGATAGAATAAATAATAATATTTGACCAATAGTCATTTTTCTAAAGAATTGCTGGAGTACCCAGGTACCCATTTACATGCATAATCATACCATTACGAAGCAAGTTGGTCTCTACAAGGTATTTCATCTGATTTTAATCCCATTGTCCCTCTTTAGAAGCTAATTAGCTCAGTTAAGTGCAGGGTTAATAATATAGAGGACATGTTTCACCCCTGTGTGTAGCACAATTATTGCTGCCATAATGTCTGTCCACCAGCTAAAGAAGACCATGTTCACTTGTGTTCAGCACCTGGTAAGATGTAGGTATCTCCTTGCCATTGGCAGTGTATGTCAGCAAACCAGTGGCAAGGTCTATCAGACAGCCAATCTCCAGATCAACGTTGCTGGCACCGGAGGCGTGGCCAGAACCGACCACGTCGCCGCCCCACACCATGTAGCAGTTACTCCTCTTCACGCTGTCGGTTATCAGCAAACAAAGGGATAATGTCAACACTCAGACCATCAAAAAAACGTTTTTTTTTCTGCAGAAAATACCGAAGCCTCACCTCTCGTGAACTCGTCCACGCTCGTCACCCAGGGTTACAGTGACTGTTCGGTTTTTGCCAAGGTGGTAGTTGTTGCTATAGTAGTGGTAGTCGGGAGTCACCCATCCGACCCACATACAGTTAGGGTCCTGACCAGCGAAGATTCTCACTGAGTGGTGGTACTGTGACGAAATAAAAAATTAGTTAGTAGGAAACCTAAAGGTTGCAACTATGTGGTACCATCAGAACAGAAGTTTGAAAATACCAAAGTGATGCTGCTGTAATCCACCCGTCTACTTTCTTCAATGTGTCTTACAGATCTCAGTGGATATCTGCGAGAGATGAAATTAAACAAGTGTTTATGCTGTGCTGCTTAAAAGTGCTTTGACATGACAACTGATTTATTTTTGAGGTCGGTACCTTTGTTTAACTTTGAGTATTTCCTCTTCCTGAACACCATTCATATCAACTCCAGGATTAGATTTAAAGGAAGAGTGAAACTCTACAGGCATGCTGAGACGACAAAACACCATGTCAGCGTTACTGTTCTGGGTGCCGAACGTCTTGTGAGTAACTTTAAGACAAGGAGGGCTGTCGATGGTKCCATCAATCCTGGTTACCTGCAAACACAAACAGATATTTGAATCTATGGACTCAGGAGTTTTTGCCTTTCTGTTGCTTAAATGGACTTTGTTCTTACTGCGATGTGGTTGTGGTTTTTTGGCACATTGACAAAAGTAGGCAAACGCTTGCTGAACCACATCGTGACCTCGCGGTTCATGTTGACAGCGAAGGGTTCGAATCCCTCCTGCAGGCCGCATGTCGTGTAGTACTTGAAAGTGCCAGCATCTTTCCCCAAATTCATGCGACCCACCTGAGCCAGACCGAGACTACAGACTGGAATAAATCCTGGCAAACAGCCAAAGGAAGGATAGAAAGAAGGAAGAGAGGAGTGTAAGGAAGCAGAGGAAAGGCACAAAAAAGCTTTAAAAACACACAAAGCAAGGTAGGAAGGAAAACCAATCCTGCATTTGCGGAGAGGCAAGCGAGCCACTTATTTTTAACTTATATCCTAAGCATGGTCATTCTAAATTAAAGACCCCTGCTCTGCATGTGAAGGCTTTATTAAAAATGGGAAGAGAAATGCTTATGCCTGACAATTCTTCCGCACACCACCTTATCAGTCTGACAGTTCTGGACCTCAAGCTAGAATAGATCACTCAAATCATGCCCACGTTTACTCGTTTTCTTTAATTCTCACCATCTTCAGCCTCAAAGTCAGTGAAGCAGAGTTCAGAGCCCTTGGTGGTAATTAGAATCTCTCCATTTAGAGTAAAGATTATGGACTTGTCCTCCATGTTGATCATGCAGCTGACTACATCCCCAGCGTGCCAGCAGCGCCCAAACAGCCGACTCCCCATRTTCAGACAGTGGCCCTGTGCAATATATACAGAGTGGGAATAAATTACAGCATAAAGACGACAGTATTGAGAGTGATTTTTGCTCTGCCTGACTGCTTACTCTGTATCCATCAAAGACAAAAGCAAGCTCATCTGTACCAAGCTCCACATCAGGTTTACAACCAGGCCTGGCCCAGCCGACTCTCATGTCCCCTCCAGTAACGGCTTCAAATTCAAAGTACCACTTTCCAGTTTTCACAGCGTAYGTCCTTTCAACTCGGAAGAAGCGGATCTTATCGATACTGAGACGCTCAACTGTTTGCCCTGAAAGTCAAAAGTGACAGATGCAGATATTTAAGATAGGAAATGGAACACACAACTCAAAAATAAAAAACATTAATGGAAATGCTGATCACAAAAAGCCCAGTGGCTTCAATTAGACACTCTTTCCCACCCYTTTTCTCTTTTCCAAAAACGGATGTAAGGTCGGAGGCAAAATCACATATCTGGGCTGGATAATTAAACCAGGTCATAACACAATCAGCTTTTTTTTAAATTATGCTCTATATAATTTGAACTTCAGCGCATCTTGGTAGGCATGACTGCATAWGTGGAACTCACCGCCTTCCTGGTCTAAGGGCTCGATGTTGTATCCATATCCAATCATGGTGCGGATAGCCTCGCGCAGGCTGTCCCTGTTTGACTTCTTGGTCCGCTCGTCCAGCAGCACATACGGAACCAGGCGAGGGTTACGTTTACTCTTCAGATCCTGTGCGGAGAAAAATTTGTCGGTGAATGTTCTTTGCAGGCAGTTGATCTGAACTCGGCTCCAAACATCTGTCTGTCCTGTCAGGAGCRTGCTGAATCAGCAGAATCAGCTCAGTCGTAAAAACGTTTGTTGCTAACCCTGATGTCAGTGAGACTAATTAGGAAGTTAATTGATCATGTATTGCTACTGGGCAAATGCTGCGCATCACTTCCTCTATTTTTCTGTGTCACTTTCATGTGGATTGCTCCCACTGGGGGCCATGCCACAATAATGTTTGTGTCATGTCAGTATTCCTAAGGCAGATCCGTGCTGAAAGTCACATGGTGTTTTTACRTCAGTAGCAGAACAGACTTTTGCTCTGGTATTATTAAACACCACAACTTCTGATCTTAAAAAAATTTATAGCATAATTTTTGTCCTCATACTACTTACTAATACTCATTTTTATGAACATTTATTATGGATTATTTCCATTTAGGATTGTCAAGAGCTTTGCTTGCATTGATTAAACATAATTTTTTCCTCATTATTTAGATTATTTAGGCTTTATCCACCCTCTTCAACAAGAACAGATTCAAAGACTGTATAAAATCTTGCTTTAGGCATATTTTCTAAGGAAAATGATCAAAAAAATACCACGAACATAAAACCTTTATTATTGTACATTTAGAAACAGATTTTAAAAAAACACAAAAAAGAATAGTTTCACATGTTCAAAGTCATGGCAATAGTGTGAAAATATCCACATTAATAACATTTCCATGCATCTGCATGTGTGTGTGTGCGTGCGTGCGTGCGTGCGTGCGTGCGTGCGTGCGTGCGTGTGTGGTTTGAGTGCTCATCCTTTTCTAGTGAATGTGTGACGTATGTTCTGTATGGGGTGTTCAGCAGCTGGCTGCCCTTTACTATAGCACATCTTAATGTGTTCTGAATTACATCTTGCAGCAAGTAAATGTCAGCCTGTCGAGCAGGTGCTCTGATAAGCTACATAAATTCTGTCGTTGCTGCGTTAATGAGCAGTTTAACTAGAGATGGCTGGAAACAGAAAATACATGATTGTTAGCAGTTAAAACCGACTGCCTGTTTTGGCACCGACGTTAATTTAAGTGCAAATATTTGAGCAAACCTGCTGAATGCCGTAGGTCCATCCCTGTTTGATGCGGTCCTTCGCCCACACATTGTGTGCATTTTCTGCCAGTTTGTCCACCAGCAGCTCCTGGCCTGGAGTCAGTTTTATGTCAGACAGGTCCAGAGGGGATGGTTTATAACCATTAGACATCATATAACTACAAGAGAAAAAATTTTTGATTTCAAGACGTATTTCATCCTCAGTTGTGAACGCACAGTAACAGACAGAGTAAATCCATCAGGGATGGTTTACATTTACAGCCTGGTAGAAAACTCTATAACAATACAGATCTTATGAACACCTTAAATATATATTGTATTTTTTCCTCATGTAGCTGTAAATGTTTTGATAATTTAGGGTTGCTCAAAGTTTGCTTTAGAGTGTCATTTTATTTTACTACAGAGAGGACAGGCGCAGTGCTTTATATGTTTAATGTATAAAGATATCAGAATACTGCTATAATTTCTCATTTCTAGCTGCATGTTTATAACACAGCCTATGAATAAAGCAACTTTAAACCAGAGACTGTAAGGTTAACACATGGTTCAAGAATTGTGCCAACTTACTTCTTGGGTAATTTTAACTTTTTGAGGGAGTCCTCTGCATTTGGATTCACCTGAACAATACGACAGCCTAACGCCAGCAGAGTCCTGTGGAATAAACACACACACACACCAGAGGAATTTAGAAGAGCCAAAAGGGTTCGAACTGAGCAGAAACGAGATGAATTTCATTTTTTTTGGAGCGTTTTGCATGTGAGGGAATGACTTATGTTAACAAATTCTATGACATTATCCAAAGGTGGTCATAGGTCATAGCTAAAGAGTTTGGACTCCACATTATCAAACTGAAGACACTGAAAACCATCATTTGTGTGTCACTTCTTTGTTTTATAAATCATAGTGTGATCTTTTTTGTCTTAAATTATAATTTAGTTGTGTTTGTGTGAAAATGGGATTTTTCAGGTAACATCTGTGGCTTAAACCTTCAAAGATTTTTTTGTAGGTGGTAAATAAAAATAAATCCTCTCGCTGCAAGAGCTTACATTGAACAATTCAAAATCCTTTTTTGTCTTTTAGCTAGGAATTATTTTTTCTGCTCATATATTCTGAAGTTTGGACAGGCTACAAGGATTAAAGGATCTTTATTTGTCATTCACGTCACATAAACATTGAATGTTCGTGAAACAGAAAGAAATGGGTTGCACAGGTCCCATTCACAGAATATAAGAATAATGAATATTAAAAGTAAAGAATTAAAAAATAAACATAAATACAAGATGAATCCAGAATGTTCAACCTACTTTACAGTTTCTGTTGACATCTGCAGATTGTAGTTCTTTTCAGTTTCTGGCAGCTTTGAGAAATCCACCAGGCATGGATGCTGTCGTTTATTATCATCCCTTATCTGCAAAACATAAATCTGTTAAAACATATAAACCTTCTGGCTTTTTATATAATAAAGCTCTTTATTCACGCCAAGTATTTACTTAACATATGAAAAAATAAGCATATGAAAACCACAACCTTGTAAGTCATTTTGAACTAACAAGGGGGGTGGGGATGTGGTTAAAGTTTATGTGCAACTGCTTGCAGTGATAAAGCAGTTTTCTCTAGTGAACATGTTACAGAGGAGGAGCAGGGGAGCATGTTTTCTTAGAGGAGGGAAGAAAGAAAGATGTGTGGCTTGAATACTAAGCACCTTTATGCATCTTTCAATGCTGCAGTTTATGCCAAATGTTCTCCCAGGCAGTGTTGCTCTTAGGAGACGGCATGACAGCGGTGGATGTTTACCAAGAAAACATGCAGGGCTGGGTACAGATATGCAGCTGTCTGTCTGTCTGTCAAAAACAACACTAACCAACTTCTCATACCCAACAGTTTTCATCCAAAGAGAAGGAAACAATAATAAATATGACAACTCCTGATTTTTAGGGATGTCAAACCTGCAAATCAGTCCATGAGTGAAACAATAAATGACTTTTATTCTAACACACGCTACAGTGACTTTGCTACCTACAAACAAACAGGCAGTGGTGGGCAGCACTAATCTAAATATTAGTTGCACTAACCCTAAAGCACTAACTCAAACATTTAGGTCCCCTAATTCTAAAGCACTAACCCACTGAAAAATTTAGCAAAAGCTAATTCTAAAGCACTAACCCACTGAAAGATTTAGCAAAAGCTAATTCTAAAGCACTAACCCACTGAAAAATTTAGCAAAAGCTAATTCTAAAGCACTAATATAACCCAGTTGACACATAAAACATTCTTCAGTCAACATGAGACAATATTTACTGTGTGCAGAATGTTGTCACTTAGTGCCCTTGGTGGACCAAATGGGAGTCMCCTGAAKGCCACATTTGGCCCRYGGGCCTTGAGTTTCACATGTGACCTTGTACATAAGTGCCACACATATAAACAAAATGTGTGACAGCTTTCACCCTCATCTGTGAACAATAATGTCGATCAATAAAATTTATAGACCTCAGTTAGTGCTTCTAAATTTAGCCTATAAATTTAGCAAGCGCTAATCCACTAATAAATTTTAAAAATAGCAAAAGCCCTAAAGCACTAATGAAGAAATTAGTTCACCTATTAGTGCTTTAGTGCTTTAGGGGAACTGTGCCCACCACTGCAAACAGGAATGTAGCRTCTAAATGAGTGATATGATCACATTAAACATAAAAAAGGTGTTGTTGTTTTTTTCACTTACCCTCTTTTAGCAGTGAACCGCAAATTATAAAAGAGAAAGCAAGATGACATACAGGCTTCTGTGGCGGTTAAATGCTACTACTATTTAAATCAAACGCATTTTCAAGCAGATTTTGTCAGAAATTTCCTCRACAAACATGGGAAAATGTATGGAGTGGGGTTTTTTCATTCCTAAAAATGACGATTATGATAGAAAACAAAATAAATTGTTTGCTTGTTTCTCACCTTGCCGTAAGTCCAGCCCAGCTCGATCTTGTTCATGCCCCAAAGTTCATGGATGTTTTCAGCCAGTTTGTCCCGAATCTTCTCCAAATGAGGAGGCATGATAATCTGAGGCAGAAAGCCTTTTTATTGAGATGTTTATTTTTTTTCTGCTAATAAGCACGTCAACATCACATCAGCTTACCTGGCTGGTTTCCACAGGGACGGGAATGAAGGAGGCCTGTGAAGTGAACTGAGGATTTCCCAGCAGATCCCGGACTCCTTCAACATCTCTCTTATACTCTTTCACTGGCTCCACCCTCATTTTCTCCTTGGGTAACAGAGCCTCAAAACACGGAGCATAATTTGACGGAGGCAGGAATTTAAAGTCCCCATGTCGGCCACCTAACAGGAAGCGCACCCTAAAGAGAAAAATGTTTCATTTATTTTATCAGAACATAATGATAAAATAGGTTAAGCAAATTATTGGTTAAAAATAATGTAAATGTCAGCTATTATTGGTGTTGTGGAAATATCCCACCAGGCAGAGATGTGGGAAATAAACAAAGTRGAAAGTGTGTGGTGGGATATTTCCACAACAGAATGGCGTCACGAACAGGATGACAAATGTTAACAGAGAACCAATGACAAACCGACAACTGAAACTTCAGAATAAGATCGAGGTTACAGACATCATGGAGTCATGAGAAACAGATTATATAATGACAGTTATCAAAGAGATACAGAACAGGACATGTCAAGGTAATATGCAGTTAGGGACWYCATGATATTCTTTCATCACAATTGGGGAAAAAAAACATCTATGCAGACAAACAAAAGCAGATTTTTTCTTTTTAATCTTCTTCAAGCTGTTCTGTTCCCACAAGAGCAACTCAAACAAAAAGAACAATCTCTGGCTGTCAATGTGAAGCTGTTCTCCAAGGTCTGCTTAAAATAGCTTCTTGATGAGTAGGGGTGACACAACCAAGCCCATTCTGACTAGTCTTCAATCAATGAGCAGTGAAGATGTGTGACCATCATTTTTTGGAGTTTTAAAATCCACGGAGACTCACACGTTCACTGGGTCACTTTCAAACACAAGCTTGTACTTGTCTAACCCATTCAACAGTATTCACAAGGACACACATTCTGAGATAACTGAGGAAGATAATCCTGTCAATTAATCAAAAAAAAGTGCTACCAAAAACTTTATACTGTGCAAAAATAAAATTATTAATATAAAAGCCTGTGGAGAAGGGTTTAAAGACTACAGTTTTTGCTCTGATTAGTTTGATACTTGTAATAATAAAAGMAAATCTGTTTTATTTTAACACAGAAAAATAAAACGTACCAAGCCCAACTYTCAACACTAGAATATCATGGTGCTGTTCTTAAATCTAAGTTTTATCAGATGTTTGTTAAATAATTACGTTTCATTTTGTATGTGATAAAATACTAATCTTTCTASCCTTTTGATCTGAAGTGTCTCTGATTCAGAGCTGCTGGTGCAAAATGCTGACATGACYCTCAAAGTCAGTCAATCATGGAAAAGCTGCTAGAGCTTAAAATTCTATTTTAACATCTTGTCAATCACATTTCTGGTCACTATAACAGGGGAAAGGGGGAACAYTTTAAATAAAATTGGTTTTATTCAAGTACTCAGACCTATACACCTGACATACACTGACCCAACTTGTCATTTTGGATTTTATACATTTCAATTTTAATATATTTGGAGACGAAAACATATATTTGTTTGTTGTTTTACCTCCTAAGAGGTCACATATGTGGCGCCAGGACCTAGGAGGTTAAACATATTCTGTTTATGTCACAAAAATACTTTGATGAAATTAAAACTCTCTGATTTGTTAGAACTTTATTTCCTGCTCAATTTTAAGGAAGGAATAAAAACATACAACTTGTTCTTATTCTTATTAGTATAAAGACTCAACATTTGTAAAGGACTAAAATAGGTTTTTTGTTTTGTTTTGTTTTTTTGCAGGTTTGGACTATCCTTTGGTTAGATACTCCTCAGTTTAAAAAAATATTTTGGCAGGTTTAGCAGTTTTGCTTTGCACACTGTAGACGCAAATTATCAATATGTTGTAAAAAAAAAAAAGGGAAGATCTTTAAACAATAAAGTGAGTCAAYCTTTCAAAGTCTGCATTAGTGATGTGTTTACTGATAAACCAATTTATTATGAGTCTAAACACAGAAAGTTTGGTTTAGAGAAGACAAGATGATAGCCACAGTTAAAGAGTCAGAAGAAAGATCTGGTTGACTAAATTATCTCATGCATTGAGATATTGTAAATGTTTAATGCAAGCAAAATGAKCACATGGTGCTTTACAAGATGAATACACTATAAACCAAAACAAAGAATCCATACAACAAAAACCACAGGCCATGCAGTGAGCCAGAAGGTAGAAGTTCAAATTAAGCAGAACGTAATAAASACTCACTTGACCCCTGCAGAGAAGCTGACGACGGGGAAAAAGAGTCCGTCTATGTTGAAATTTTCAAACATGCCTTGCACAGGCTGTCCGTTGATCCTGAAGGAGATGCTGGGAGCTCCCAGGTCCAGACAACAGCTCACCACATCCTCTGAAGTCAGGATATGCTGGTTCACAGATGCAACTGCCCGCGGGATACGACCTGATCAGGACAGACAAACATACAGTTATGTGAACACGGCCCAGTGAGAGATGCTGGCAAAGATCAGAACTCTCCGACTCACACCGAACGCAACACATTTGCGCTCAGTCTGGGCAAGAAAATAGTTCCCGCAGGGTACTGATTGTCTGGATATAATCTGGATGTGYACCAAAGATTTCACTTATCTTTAACGTGTTAGCTCACATTCAAATAAASTCTACCCTCCCACTCACCTGACCAGAGGTGGAGTCCATCAAAACCATACGAGTAGAGGTCATCGCCGACTCCGTTGCCCCCCCAGCCCTCGCCCCCTCCGGGGTAAGGTGCGTARCCTTTAGTGTTGGCCCAACCCACTCTCAGGTGGGAGGGCTCACTGGTCACAAAGTGGTCCACCTGGTCGATCATCAGCTCRTAGTACCACTTCTTATACTGGGCGGAGCCTTCACTCACACCCAGGAAGATGTTTGGTCTCATGCTGGCAAAAAAGTTCAAATATGAAGTCACTAAAAGTCTCTCAGTCTCTAAGTGAAATCAGGTTTGACTTTTAGTTAGATGGTTTCATTTCTCAGTAAAAACAAATAAAAAGGTTTCACTTAAAGGGGACGTATCATACAAAATCCACTTTTTTTAGTCATTGAGTGCATTTTGTTGTGTACTTGGAGTCTCTAGGAGTGCAGAATTTTTTTTATTTAGTTTCTCCCAGTGCTGCATACATATATTTATATTCTGTTTGAGTCTCTTTTTTTTTCTAAATTTTCAATGACGTTTTCTGAACTGTTCCATCACATTTTTTTGTGATGGAACTGCCTATTAATTTTGGTGGTCTTCATTCCCCTCTGGCTCCAACATGTAAGGCTGAAAGGACAAGTTTTATGCTGTTGACATCTTTTGAACTCATTTGTAAATAAAAATGTTTCTGCACCGCTATATAGTCGTAAACCTCTCTAAGAAACTAGAATGGAAGCTGGAAGGGGGCGGGGTGTAAAGTCTCTCATTTGGATTTAAAAAGACAGCCTCAAAATGAGTTGATCTGAGACACACCTCAAAGGTGTGAAAGAGGGGCTTGTGGAGTTACAATAAGGAGGAATTCARAGCAAAGCATTGCAGTTTCACTTCATATAGAGCCCAACTGAATAATTTATGTGAAAAAAAGGATTTAAAAGCGTGATATGTCTCCTTTAAGGATCAGATAAATTTCATCGGGTGCACTCAGTGATGAATATTCCTAGAAAGTAAATTCTATAATCAGAGGCTGGAGATGGTGTCAAAATGTTATTGTTGTCTAAGCAAGAATTAAGTTGTGAATTTTTACACCGTGTTACTTTAACAACTTGTGTTTTCACATGAAACACGTGATCCACGAACTGTGTTTCAAAAACAGCATTCACAGAAMGCACTATGAGGTTTGAGTTGTTTCAGACAGCAGACACTTCCTCTCAATTAGGCTTTCTTTTGAATAGCTGCTGTGATTTTTTTCCTGAAAGAAAAAATCYCCCATGATTTTCTAAATTGTACACCAATTATAAACCAATATTTTAATGATTTATTCATGTGAGTCATGAAAGTACTCATCTAACAATCAGAGTAAATAACTAGGATTTAAAATGATTTAGAGGGACCATGTTGGAAGGCAGTGTCACAGAAAAAAGMAATAAAACGGCTTCCTCACCTCTGGACATCATTGACCAGCTGAGTTTGTAACAGCAGATCTCGTTTTGGCAGCAAGTGGTCGCAGATGAGGTTCTGATTGGTTCGCACAGCTACACCATTACACACGCACAGCGAACAGAGCACGTCCAGAATCTTAAAAAAAAAAAACAGAGCCATCAAGAAGAATAATAAGCAATCATAAATCATGAGTGCAAGACCTCAATGGCTCTTCAACAGATAATCACGTATTTACCTATTTTTTTCTTTCAAACACTAGGTTTAAATCCATACCCTCCCAGAAATGACTAATTATCTGTGTCCCAAATCACTGTCCAAGTTGGTGCTCTGAGGACAGCCTATTTTCATGCAAGCACTGCATAATTACCCTGATGCTGGTTAGAGCTAAAAACATGTCCAATAATATTTCTTTGATGTTCACTTAACAAAGGCACAGAATTAAATGGGCTGGGAAGCTCAGCCAAGGATGACAGGCCACTTTATCATTGACCTTTTCATCCTGCTTCCAAAGCAAAACAATACATTTAGGCTGATTTATGACCCAGGCCACCCAACTGTCTGCTTTTAATTATATTATCCCAGTAAACAGATTTGTTCATGACAGAGAAGCATCACAAACCTCTGTCACACGTGGAAGACTAGGCAGGTAAAAAGTAAGTACAACCAATTAACAGATAGAAGAAAAGATTAAATCGAGTCCTTACTTTCTGCAAAGTAAGCAAACCCCAAATCAAAAATACACACACACCAATTTATATAAAGTTTTGTTAAATTGGCTGGTTGGACTGTAGCTTGCAGGGTATGTTTGAATTTTATTCATTTCTTTGCACCTTGAAAATATTTCTAAAGGTCTAATTTGAAGATCATTAACCATTTAAAATCATTTATGGCCACACATCAAAAACAACTCTTCAACCAATGTCTTGTGAATAAAAAGGCTCTTTCAAGGGCAAAATTATTTTTACGGTTTCATTTCAAATGAAAGAAACAAAAAAAATGAGCTTGTTCAAAGAATGTAGGCTTTATGAGTTTATGTATCACTTCAACATTCTTCTTTTGTAGAAATATCTGAATACAGTTCATATATTCTATGTTTATACATAACTRCAATATGAAAGTAATAATGCAGTAATACATTCTAAGCAATTTCTTCAAAATCATAAACCATTTTAGGTAGATATTGTATTTTCTCTCTATTTGTCATTTTTTAAACTGATGCATTTTTAACATATTTAATGTAAAATAAAAGGGTACACACCGCATGTCAACAAGGACCTCATCATAATTACAAACTAAACTAGAGACTTTGTATTTCCACCAAAAAAAGCAGCATTAATGCTTAATGTTGAAAGACTTATCTGAAATCTGCTGAAGTCAAGCTGAAAGAGTTTTATAGCAAAACTGTAAATGTGAGTTAAATTTCAACAGCTGACTTGCTGAATGTAGGAAAAGGTGAAAAATTGGTAGAAAAAAKCAAATACGTGTCAAAAAGTTGAAATGAGCAGAAATGTAGTAAAGATAGCAGAAAATAGTGAATATTGACAAAAATGTAGCTTAAACAGCGGAAAAATTTGAAACTACCAGAAAGAAGAATTACAAATTTCAGAAAAGAACAAGAAAGATTAAATTTATATAAAGAAGATGAACTGTGCAGAAAAATGAATAACCTGTGACCTTCATTTTTATTTTATGACCTTGAAATAAATAGTGTCATCATTGAAAAAACACATTTGCTGAGTTATGCAATAAAGAAGCTGACATTATCACAAATAATTAATTTAGCTGAAAAAATAAAAAATGAGCTAAAATAGTTGAAAAGTAGCTAAAAAAGCTAAAAACAGCAGAAAGAAACTACAAGAGTTTGTTTCCTGAATTAAGCCGCGAAAACACCACTAAAACATGAATTTACATGAATAATGCCAAATTTAGAACAAAAACACTGATGTGCTGATAGATAGAAAAAATAAAAACAGCTGAACAAAGCTGAAAGGAGCATACAAAACTAAAATGAACAGTAGCAAGAATGTCCTGAAGGAGTTGAACATATTGATATAGAAATGGTTGAAATAGCACAAAAATTGCAGAACAAGATTTGTGC